AGTTTTCTTACAGGAAAGGTATTAGGTAAAATATGAATAAAGAGGGAGTTTTTCCTTTAAACATAGAGATGCCTAATTTACCAATCACTTGCCAATTCGAGTATAAAAAAAAAAAAACTGCTTCTGCACCAAGAGTCAAAAAATTAAATCTAGACCAGAAATTTGTCTAAACCAGAAAACAGTCACAATCTTGATTTGTCACATTTAAAATACATTTTATCTAGAGCAGTTTTCAAATTCTAGACCCAGTTCACCTCATTTGAACCTCCCGTCTATGAGTACTAAATTCTAAAACTCATATATTGCAATAAGTAAAATAATAAGTGTCACAAATCCTCAAAGCTAAGGAATAAAAACTGATTTAGGAAAGTGTTTGCAATGTCTAAGAACTGCAGCTTTCTATATAAATGAGACACTGCAGAATCCAGTAGGCTCAGCGACTAATTGGAAATGTTATACGCGCAATTTAACACAAGGCTGTGGATAACATCAAGCTTAATTTCTAAAAGCTGAGCAGACCATAGTTTGTTCTGTTAGTGAGTTGACAATTTTCATACATGATTAAGATAGATTGTCATTGAGAGAAGCCAAGATTAACAAGGAAAGTTAAAAACGATATTAATGCAAACCACTTTTTAAAAAAGGATTCTGCCCATTTATTTTACAGAATTAAATATAACATGAGGTGTATAGAAAGACTATCCATGTTACAAGATGTACTGCTCTGCTATCAAGAAAGTTTGTAGAGGCTGCTTGTTCAGCCTGATCCATGGGAATTTGTTTTTCTGGTTCCCAACTCCCTTTACTGCCCCTAACCTTGGGTATAGTTTGCAAAATTTAAAATGTTCCATATTGTGCTGTCTTGTTCATTTAGCCCATACATGTCAAAGAAACAGTTGGTGACCACTGACTTTGGGCTGCACAGGGCCTTTTTTTTTTTTTTTTTTAAGTGTGTTAGAATAATTGCTGGATGGTGTAGGGAGTTTTGTGTGATGTGCTCTATGTTTTAAGAGGAACCCCAGTTGGAGAGGTGCTCCTTGATATATTTCAAGCATTTCTTTTAATTTTAGTTTTGTCTTTAGTTCTACTTTAAGTAACACTGGATGTGTAGTCTTATTGCATATTGTACAAGGTCTTAAAAAAAAATAGTCTGCGGAGTTCAAGACTAAAAACATGTCAAAGATCACGTAAAAGATTTTTTAAACAAGCATTTGGTGAACTAAGCAAGTAGATAGACGTGTGACTCTATGGGTGAACAGAAGGACAAAGAGGCAACTTGGTTTAAGATTTCATGTCTACCCGGCCTTTCTGCCCCGTTCCTTCATTCATAGGAGCAATGAAACCAACTCTATAAATGGAGGGGACAGACCTTTCAATCATCCACTCCTCCTCCATGTATAGAGCTGTGGTACACCTTCTATGAATGGAGGAGCTGGGTGGAAAAGGTGGGCAAAGTCAGGCACTCTCGACAAGTGCCTATCACAGTTCTGTTAGCTGTATCAACCTCTTACAAACCAGATGATTATGGTGGGAAGGAGGGGGGAAGATTATCAATGGAGGAGAATTTCAGCTAATAGTGGAACGAGCAGCACAAAGAACACATCCTACTGACTGTAAGTAATGTCCCTTGTGTTGATTATTGTTTCTTGATTTCTGACTAAGACTTCGACTGTGTACATTTTTAACTAAAATTTCATGAATGTGTCAAAAGAAAAACAACTCAACCTTCCCAAGCTACTGTTTGGAAATATGGAACAGTTTGTTGATGTGATTCTACAATAAAATATTCTTGTTCCAGCAGAGTAATGATTAGCATGTATCGTAAACTTAAATAACAATGCATGTTCTCCGTTTCACTGTACGGCATTAGGAAATGCTGATACATCCCCATGGATTAGCTGAAACATAGGAAATGACTGATCTACTTCTGTCTAACAAGCACTAAGGGACCTGACTTCAAAACTCTACAAGATATGGCTATTATGATTTGATCAAGCATAGTTTAGGCTTAGTGAAAGGACAGCTGAGAATTCAGCAGCACCTATCTTAAACACATATTCAACAGAATGTTAAATTTCTGCAAGCACAATCATTTACCCCCTTAGTTGCTCATGCATAGGTAGATCATGCCACCAAAGGATTTTCAGTGGGTGGCCAATCTGCAAAACAGATTAGACCATATATAATAACGCCTACAATATATTTGACATATATGGGTAGTTCAAGTGGGTCCCAAACATTCATGTTATGTAGTAGACTATAGAAACCGTTGGGCGATAGTGGCATACACACCACAGTGTGTTACGTTATGAGGACAGTTGGTTACGCTTCTGCATGTTATTTTCTAATTCTTTTTGTTTCCATTTGTGACTTTTTGTGAGTAAATATGCATTCACAGCACATACATGTATCCCAGTGTGTGATTTGTTCCTCATTATGTACTTTTTTATTCGTAGAGTGCAATCTCCCTCTCATGAGGAAGCCCTTCTGGGCGAAACATGCCATTGGCCCACCTATACATCTCTCTGCTGGGTAAACTGCTATAAGGGGGTTGTTGAATGGTGTTAGGTTGATGGAAGTTTTAATATTTATGTCATTGTTTTTAACACCAAGTGGCTTTTAGGAGCTTATGGATTTTGATCTTAAAGAAATTTGGATGTACATAAAACATTGAGTAGTTTTTCTATTTTTCTCAGTGATTTTCCACCTCAAATGTCCCATTTTCTACTATGTTCTGTTTTTTTTTTTCCTGGCCATTAGGTATTAAGTGTTTTTCTCTCCATAACTGATTTTTATCCATTTGCAATGTGCCTTTGAACTTGCCAAAATATTTGACTACCCTAAGTGTCAATTCCTTGCATGTCATAACCCTTTCCTTTTCTGAGCATAATTATTTTCTGTGCTGACCCAGATCCTCCTCCCCTCACATAACTGCTGGGGGAGTAGCAAATATCTGCTAGGGGGAGGAGCAAAGGCAAATACTATAACATGTCACATGGGTGACAGTTCTGAGTCTGCTAATATTACATCCAAGAGGGTGGTGTGCCGCAGCAGTGTTATGGCTTTCAGATGCCTACACAATCTGATAGGAATTTTTTTTTTTAAACAATGCCTGGAGACAGGGTGTCTTTAGTATGTACAATGTATAAAAATATAGACTATGATAAACATAATAAATAATTCCTGTAACATATCACTTTTTTTATATTATATTATTATACAAAACCTTTATTGATACAGAAAAAGTGATATTTCAGGCTTTGAATATTCTATTATTTTCCTTACCATGGTCCAATGCGAGGTTTCTAATCCTGCTTTCAGACACACAGTTATCACCACAAACTAAAAAGAAAATACAGAGTTATTTAAATGAATGTGTTAAAATTTTACTGGTTTCATTAGTAAATATTAGGACAGGAAGGGACACTCTATTCACGGTAATAATCGTTCTATTTTTGCATTTTAATGCTAGCACAGTTTACTCTAACACTAGCACACCTGGCTCATTCGACTTTTAAAATGACTTTTGTCCAACTGATTGGCCAGAATTCAAGCCATCCATCTCCCAGGTTTAGAGTAAGAATATCTAGATATGGAAGGGATACCTGTACTAGCACAGTGTGGCAAATAAATCTTAGATGGTTTATTAATTCATTGTCCTGCCTTACAAGATCACATTGGTCTAATTCTACATTGTAAACTTACAGTATAAACGATGTTCCCAAGTAAAAGATAGTCTGATGTTTTTCCATTTGCAAATACAGTATCTGTATTTAAAAAAAAAAAAAAAAGAGTATTAAATAACTAAATATGGAAATATCCAACATAAATGTAAATGACTTGGATCAATAAAATAAAACTAGCAAAATAACATTTAAACTTCTAGTAAAACAAAAAGGATATCTAGGATGCCCAGATTTGGGTCAAAACCATGAAGGTAATTCGGAAAAAAAAAAAGATGTAACTGCAGTGGCATTTCTAAAACTCACCCAAATAAAGACAATAAAGACAGCGCATTTCCTTGCTATCCATTACTTTGTGCTTAACGGTTTGTGCTTAAAACCCAAAATAGCAATGTACAGCATTCACAAAAATCAGGCACCAAACACGCCAAACTGAAAAAACATTACATGTGAACATTCGGCATCTATGGATGGAAACCCTGTTTCCTTCTAGAACAGTGTATTTGTATTTAAACCCTACACAGTAGTTGTCAGGTTGTACAAAGAATTGAACCGTGGGTGACCAACCTTATTTAGGGCTTATTTCCTCACTATCTTGTACGGTGAAGCTTTGAACACTAACGCATGCACACAACTGGGTAACAAAGTGGCTTAGTGATTAGCAGTATAGCCCCGCAGCACTGGGATCTTCTGTTTGAGTCCCAGTCAGGACACTATCTGCATGGAGTTTGTATGTTCTTCCTGTGCTTGTATGGGTTTCCTCTGGATACTCTGGTTTCCTCCAACACAAGTTTCTTCGCTCCTGTCTAAAATCAGCCTCACCATCTGCCCCAACAGTAGATAAAGTGCTGTCTCCTTAACCACTAGCCTACAGGGCACGTATACCCCTTCCTGCCCAGGCCAATTTCCAGCTTTCAGCGCTGTCACACTTTGAATGACAATTGCGCGGTCATGCAACACTGTACCCATATGAAATTTTTTATCATTTTTTTGTGACAGATAGAGCTTTATTTTGGTGGTATTTAATCACCTCTGGGTTTATTATTTTCTCTTAAACAAACCAAAAACCAGAGAATTAAAAAAAAAAAAAAAAAAAGTTTTTTCTAAGTTTTTGTTATAAAATTTTGTAAATAAGTGATTTTTCTCCTTCAATGATGTGCGCTAATGAGGCTGTAGTGATGGGCACTGATAGGCTGCACTGATAGGTGGCACTGACAGGCATCACTGATGGGCACTGAAAGGCAGCACTCATATATGGCACTGATAGGCGGCACTGACTGGCACTGTTAAGCAGCACTGACGGGCACTGATAGGTGGCACTGATGCACACTGATAGGCGTCACTGATTGGCAGCACTGATAGGTGGCACTGATGGGTGACACTGAAAGGCAGCTCAGATGGGCACTGATATGTGGCATTGATGTGCACCAGTAGGCACTGAAATGTGGCACTGATGGGCACTGGCAGGTGGCATGGATGAGCACTGACAGCTGGCACTGATGGACACTGACAGATGGCACTGTAGGGGCTACACAGATCATCAGGGCACACTGATCATCAGTGCTCTGATGATCTGTGTACATGTCCCCCCCGATGAATGCCGATTACCGGCTCTCCTCTCCTCACAAGCTTTCAGAGTGACAGCTCGAGAGGAGAGAAATGCCAATAACCGGCATTTCCCTGTTTACATGTGATCAGCTGTGATTGGACACAGCATATCACATGACCGAGCCGACATCTTTGGCTCTTTACGCTGATCGGTGATCCACTGTTTCCGAGGGACACAGCACACCGCCGATCGCTGCACGCTCCCTGAGCCGCGCATGCGCGGTTAGAATGGGAGGACGTCATATGACGTCCTCCCAGAATGAGAGAACCACCTTTGCCCGTCATTGTACTATATGGTTCACCTATGGGAACATGTAACATGTTCCTGATCCTGCAGCTGACGCCCGATCACCTCCCTGTGACAGCAGTACGGGGAGAAGTTCCCTGTACTAGCTTTCATTTTTAAAAAACAGCTCTGCCCACATGGCCGCATCATTCATTCACAGTGTTCTGTCGGCTTGTAGATCTCAATGAACTACTACAGTCAGAAGTATTGGCTTGCCCGTACAGGATGTACAAGCAAGCAGATACACTGACAGGAGAGATTGTGGATTTGGGGTTTTCATGAGCTGTAAGCCATAATCATCACAATTATGACAAATCACGGCTTGAACTATCTTGCTTTGCATGTAATGAGTCTATCTCATATATTAGTTTCACCTTTTAAGTTGCATTACTGAAATAAATGAACTTTTGCACGATATTCTAATTTTTAGAGTTTCACCTGTATACCAGGGGACTCCAAACTATGGCCCTCCAGGTGTTGAGGAGCTGCAAGTCCCATGAGGCCTTGCAAGACTCTGGCAGCCACAGGCAAGACACCCAGAGGCAGGATGGGACTTGTAGTACTTCAACAGCTGGAGGCTCATAGTTTGGAAACCCCTGCTGTATACTAAACGCTTGCCCACAGCATCACTTAGATGTATGGTGGCACGGGGTCCTCTCTGTGCTGGATCATATACCTGGTACGTGATTAGCGCTTCCGGGTAGGGAGCGCACGCGCCTACCCGCAGCTGTGCTGTGATTTGTTACAACACATTAACCCCTTGATTTCCCCTATATGTTAGCCCCTTCCCAGCCATTGTCATTAGTACAGAATTAGCACTGATTACTGTATTAGTGTCACTGGTGATGTCAGTGTCAGCCAGTTCCCACAAAGTGTCAGACTGCCCGGCGCACTATCACAGTTCCGCTATAAGTTGATCACCGCCTGTAACGGAACCAGATCGCACTTGGGTATTTCCGCTAGACTCTTGCTTCCCTGTCTGAACACAATCCACGGACCCCCACCGCTGATCATACAGAACATAGACAGCACCAGACTCTCTTAAGACAGGAAGGAGACTGCTTTATTTTACCACACACAAGATATAAACATTCAAGGGAACAACCCACTTCCCTGCATAAGGACACAGGGCGGGGCAAACCAAATTTAGCAACCAGAGACACATCCCAACAGACAGTCCCATCAAGAGGGCTGCTGGAAACACCCCCCACCAAGTCAATACACAAACATCTAATAGAACAATGGGACCACATGGCAGTAAACAATGAACAACCCCCCACACCCCACCTATACATGTTTACCCAATATCAGGACAGACCACCCTGTACCCCTAACAGGCACAGGGTGGGCTACACACAAGAGGAACAACAGAGGTCCCCCCACCCCCAAAAGTCACTCCGTCACACTGCCCTTACTAGTATATATATTAAAAAAAAAAAAATCAATCTCTCTCTCTCTCATAGATATATATATATATATATATATATACACATATATATATATATATATATATACACACACATATATATATATATATATATACACACACACACATATAAACACACAAACACACATATATACACACACACACACATACATCATACACACACACACAATAGTGTGTAGATGCTATAACTTTCACACAAACCAATTAATATGCACTTATTGGAGATTTATTTTTATTTTTTTTAAAGACGTAGTAGAATACATTTAGGCCTACATTTATGAAGAAATTTTTTTTTTTTAATTGGATATGTTTTATAGCAGAAAGTAAAAAATATTGTTTTTTTTGGTCAACATTTTCTGTCTTTTTTCATTTATATTCTAAAAAAAAAAAAAAACCCAGTGGTGATCAAATTCCACCAGCAAGCTCTATTTGTGTGCAAAAAATGATACACATTTCTTTTCTTTTCTTGGGTGCTATGTTGCATGATCGTGCAATTGTCAGTTAAAGTATCGCTGTGCCAAACAGCAAAAAAAAGACCTGGTCATGAAGGGGCAAGCGTTTAATCATTAGAAGTAGCATTGTGTGTGGTCTTGCATTGGGATATTAGATATAAAATGAAAGTCAGCGCAGTTGTGTTTTGCGTATCACTGCAATGGTGCAGATCTTCAGACTCGATTGCAACCTTTACAGATAGATTACATTTTTTTTGTTGTATACAGAGCACTGACTGTGCTTTGTAAAGCATTACAACGCAAACACACATGCTTTTGTCTACTCATCAGTGAGATGTAGGCCCAGCCAGATGCAGGTGGGAAGAGAATAAAAATGTATGTGTGGTGCAGCACCCTGGCAGAAGGCTCCCTTCAGAAAAACAACACTGCGGCAGTATTTAGACTGCGGACTGATCCACAGCCAAAACATTGGTTTCTGGGCAGGCCTTGTCCGTGCCAAATATGAATCAGCTGCTTCAACCTTAAACCAGCAGAACGCAGCACTTAAAAACACTAGGTAATAGGAGGCTCCGACGATTTATGTGGCTAACGCAAATAAATTAGGCCCATTTAAACATCACATTTGTAACTATGTGGTCACACTCAGTGCGGTTGGCATCAAATGGCTCCTTGCTACAGTTTCACAAACTCCAGAAACAATTCTGATCTACGTATACAGTCAGACCTTACAGAAAACGCTATAAATCTGCCAAATGTGTAAAATAAATGTGAAAAGAAAAACTGTGTCCAGATTCTGCAAACCAAATGCATAACAAATGAGATGTCAGTCTGAAGGTTATACTGGGCATACTACCACAAAACACACAGACATGTTTCTTGTATCCCTCTCTAAATAGGAACATATAAACATTTTTCACAAGGCTAAAGTATATATTCTGATTCATTTATACATAATGCTGGTAAAAAATATGTGTCCTTACTATTCGGCATGTTTTTGCTTATTTTATCTCCCGATACTTTGAACTTCAAAAGGTTCACAAAAATAAATATTGCTATGGTGTGGAATAAATATTTTTCTGCATAAACGGCAAAGGCCTGTATCCCTGGTTCACACCAGTGCGACTTCAGGTGCGACATACGATTTACAAATCGCACCTGTTTTTCTATGGCACGGTCTTAGTGAGATTTGAAGTAGCGTGATTTCAAAAATAGTTCCTGCACTACTTTTTTTTTTTCCCCGATTTCATTGCGGCTTGCAGTGACTTCTGTTAAATTAAATTGTTCAAGTGAAGTAGCATATGAACCAGGGTGGAAGCCCCTATTTATCACAAGTTGGTGAACTGTACATTTTTAGCAGACATGTAAGGGCCCACTACTGCATTGTGGCATGTAATGTGCAGCGGTGCCCCAACTCACCTTGCCTGCAGCACACTGCAATAATGTATGCGTAATAATGTGTGTTGTGGTGTGGTGTGTCACAGAAAATAATGCAGGCACATTTATTATAGTGTGTTCTGACTGCACTGCAAGCCCATTCAAATGACTGCTAACAAGCCACAAAACATACAAATGCAAACACACCGCACTGCAAATGCATGAACATGCTCATAGGCCCCCTTCGTATGATTGCACAAGGGTGTGGTAGCATGCACATCTGCAAGAGAATTGTAAATATGCAAATATTATGTTTGTTTGTGTGTTAGGATGCACTGCCAGCCCATTCAAAAAATCTACGATGGGTTAATGCAGTGGTCTCCAAACTGCAGCCCAGGGCCCAGATGTGGCCCTTTGCTTGCTTTTATCTGACCCTTGGGAATTATGACCCATTTTTTGGTGTCCGTGGAAGAAATATTGCCCCAACACCACCAAAGGGGCACAATTCCTCCCAATGACATCAACGATTGGGCCCAAGTGACACCAACGATGGGGCATTATTTTTCCCAATGATACCAATAATGGGGCACAATTCCTCTTCCTGACACCAAAGATGGGGCAAATGTTTACTCCCACTGATGCCGAGACATTTTCTACTCCCAATGGTCACAGTCCAGCTCCTAAAGTCTGAAGGACAGTAAACTGTTCTTTTGTTTATAAAGTTTGGAGAACCCTGGGTTAATGCAATGCAATGTGAAGGGAGTCTTTGAAATCATAAAAATAATTTGATTGACATCTTCGCAAATAACACAGGTGAACAAAAATTATACTTTTCCTAGGCTTTTAAGAACCAAGGCTATGATTCAGTCCGGTCCAGATCCGCACAATAAGGACATAAGTTAGTTTATATTCATCATTTTTTGCTATCAGTGCACAAATAACAAAAACTAGAACAAAAAACAAAATTAGATGCAAAATCTGCAAAAACTAAAAAAAAAACAAAACCCAAAAAAAAACAAAACACTATACAAATGACAAATATTTTCCACAGAATCATACAGAATACTGCTCACTCATAAATGTTGCTAGTCACATAAGTGTTTTAAAAGACCGTGTTTGTGTACATTAATATATATATATATAAAATATATATATATATATTTCTTATATTATATATATATACACACACACACACACAAGAAGCCAACGCATGCCCTGTGTGTCACTCATTATCAATGCATACTTAATGTCTCTTACCATGCTGCAGGGCTTTCAATGGGAACCAGAACAGTATAACACTGTGTAATAGACCATTCAGGCAATGAACCCAGAAAACCTAGAAGAGAGTGAGAGAGATTAATTTGTAAAAGAGCGAGTTGGTTGGACTATCAGTTGGTGGACTATCTAGCTTTATCTGAGTGCAGCAAGTGTGACTTGTCAGGGCACCAGCCTGAAGCCTTGTCACACATCAGGCAAAGATATAATGTTTCTATACAGAGACACCAGCATTAATACAATTCTGGCAAACAAAACTCTGTGCCA